ACTCCTCTGTCCGGAGTGTGGCAACGTGGATGAAACGCCGGAGCATGTGGTTTTCGACTGTCCAAGGTGCGAGACAGTGCGAAGGGAGATGCCTGTCCTTAACGTGGAGAATATCGTCGATGAAATGTGTCCAGAGGAAGGCACTTGGAATGGAGAAAAGAGCAGCAATCTAGCAACGCCAGCTAGCACTGAGAGTATGAGAAGTGCCAGCTCCCTCGAAGTAGTCGCTTCAGCGTGGCCCCGGGGGATCCAGGCAAAGGAGAGAGTAAGGAATGGGCTTTAGTGGAACTACACTAGGCAACTAGTGGATACCACCCCGTGCTAACTTCAATACAGGTCTGGATTTTTTACCCCCCCCCCCTATTTTCTCGGCTTTGAAAGTTGATACATATTTCATTATCGTCAAAGGAAAATTGATTCAATAATTCTAATTATTTGATAGGTTAGAAGAGTTTTTACAAATAATAGCCATATGTAGGACAAGGTGGGGTAAAACGCACCCTGGCGTTATATAACTAACAGCGTTTTTTATCGTACTATTAAAAGACTAATTGATATAAACAATTGCTCAGATGACTGTTCTGCAGCTCTTATAGTTATTATGGGTGAAATTCCATCCCGTACCCCATATGGATTTCATTATTCTGTAATAGTTTTGATCAAAACAACTAATGGGAAATTTTTTCCCGATTTTGTCAGCCTAAAATTTGAGAAGGGGCTGACAAAAGCGGGAAAGCACTGTTTTCATAAATCTTCCCTGAAGATCCTACACTGTTCCTGAAGTTTTCGGATCATTCCTGAAATTCTTGGAATATCTCATTTCCCTCGGAACTCCTTGAAAATTCATGCAATTTTTCTGAAGTTAATGGGCCTGCTCTCAAGTTCTCAGTGCATTTTCGCAGTACTCAAAATTCACCTGAATATAATGAAACTACCTTAAAACCTCTAATATTCATTGGAGTTCTCTACACTTTCTAGAAGATTTGCGAACATCTTAAAAGTTCTCGCATTTTTCTTGAAGTTCCCTCATCTTCGCTTTTTTTTTAGTTCTTGAAACTGCCATGAAGATCACAGAACACCCCTTAAAATGTTCTCACCATTCTCACATTGTCTTGATGTTCATAGAGCTTCCCAAATGTATCGGACATTTTCCTGAACTTTGCGGAGGTATTCGAAAATTCCGGAACTCCTTCAAAGTTCCAACAATTTCCTTGAAATTAATTGAGCTGCCCTTAGGTTCTCTGATCTGTCCTAATGTTCTCAGAGCTTCGCAAAAGTTCATCGAACGGTTCTAAAATACATGGAAAATCTTTAAACTTCCCTGAAGTTGTCTGGACCTCTGTAAAGTTTCAAAACAATTAAAGATGTTTTATTAAGTTTTCTGGAGTTCTGGACATTCCTAAAATACCCGACTTTTTCAGGGTTCTCGAATTTTTTTGACAAATTTATGGATTTGTCTTGAAATTATTGGAACTTGCCTGAAATTATTGGAACCACCCTTAAGATCTTTTGACCTAGGTTCTCTGAACTACTTGAATCATCTTTTTTTTCCTTGATTTGTTTTCCGTACTGAGTATCAATGCTACCGACACCAAGGAGGCAGCTCCCAGACCTGAACCCTACCTATCGATCCATCAACTCATGGACCGGGGATCAAGGGTTTTACTTCCCTTCCGAAGGAAGGCGTGATCAGTGATTGTGTGCTTCAGAAAATCCTGGCGGCGCCGACTGGGATTGGACCCAAGCCCTTCGGGGTGAGAGGCAATCACGCTTAAGATTCAACAATTTTCCTCATGTTAACTCTACTTCTCCGAAGTTCTCTTGACTTCCCTTAAATTCTGTGGATATCTCTGAAGTTCTTAAAACTTCTTAAAAGTTTCTGCAGTTTTCCTGAAGCTAATGGAACCGCCTTGAAGTTTTCGGAACTTCCATTATGTTCTCGCAGTTTGTTTATGAAACCTTCCTAAAACTCTCGGCATTTCCTTTCATTCCTCAGAACTTTTTTTTAAGTTCCTACAATTTGTGTGAAGTTTTTTTTTTTTTCCTTTATTAACGAGACTTTCAGCCTTAGGCTGGTTCATCTCTAAAACGTGTGAAGCTAATGTCGAAACTATCGATTTTAAATTGGCTCACTACTTGACTAGCCTATTGGTCCCAAGCAAATCGATTAACGTGCCCCATTCTAGTCGAAATTCTAGTACTACACAATGTTTGTTTTCATTTGCCATGAAAGTTTGGCAGATAAAATGAGGGGTTCGTGGATTTTCCTATGTTTCGAGGGGTGCATCGATTAGCTTGGGACCGAAGATAGTACCAGAGCTGAGCCAAAAACTTGAGCACTTTTCTTCGGGACCTACTAGTCTTAGAGTTACTTCTATGGAACTACCCTAAGCACCTCTAATGATTCCTGACATTCACGAGCCTTCCCTGAAGCTCTTGCTATTGAGCAGTTCCAGGTCAAATAGTGAAAAAAATTAACATTTTTTTTTTATTTTACCTCTCAGAATTCCATGAAACTTCACATATTTTTTCAAAAGGACGTATTGGATATCAGGCATAACATTTGATAACGGCACAAAAGCATTTGTAAACAAACTTTCTAAGGCCCTTTACACGCGAACCAAAGTACGCCCACGCAAACCAACAACATCATCGGATAGGGGCAACTATCACCTTTCCGAAAGAGGTATTGGTTTGCGTGGGCGTACTTTGGTTCGCGTGTAAAGGGCCTTTGAAAGTTTGTTTGCAAATGCTTTTGTGCCGTTATCAAATGTTATGCCTGATATGTTTCAATAAATCATGGCACACAAACGGCTTATCTAATCGAAATGATGTCGAGGCAAAGTTGTGCGGGATTGTCTTTTCAGAAAAAATACACACTGAAAAAAATTAAAAAAAAGTTTCGTTAAAAATGGGAAAAACTGTTACAAACTTCAATAAGAACAACAGTGCATTTTCATGATTTTTAATCTTATGTTTCAAACTTTAACAAAAATGCTAACTTTTCTGAAATGATTGAAGTGTGTTTGATCTAAATCGTAGAACAACACTTCTAGTCAAACTTTACTGAAAAGTTCATGCCGTTTTCCTGAAGTTAATGACGCATTTCGCGCCAAATCGAATCGAAGCTGGCAGCACCCTCTCAGATTTCAATAAAATTTTCTGGATGTGTAGACTTTGACTAAATAAGCACTTTTGCATACTTAGTCAAGGTATTAGTCAAGGTCCACACATCCAGAAAGTTTCATTGAAATCTGAGAGGGTGCTGCCAGCTCCGAATACGATTTGGCGCGAAATGCGTCTAATGGAACTTCCCTGAAACTCGATGGTCTTCACTGAAATGGATTTTCCCGAAATCTTTGGAACTGTCCTGAAGCTATAGGAAATTTGAGCGCATATGCACATAGGGCGGCCCTAATTAAACCAAACTATATAAAAAAATTATACCTGATGCACTCCCATATTTTAAGGCCCATTTGTAAGCAGAATGTTTTTGCGTTTGGAATATTTTCATTCAAAGGTGCAAACTGAATCTGGATGAAGACAGAACATTTCTCTTGTTGGTGGCAATTTTGCTCTTATGAGCCCATAGTAATATGGATGGGTGTCCATAAATGTACTTCTTCATTTTAGTGCTTTTATGAGAGGAGGGCATTTAGATCGATATTTTTGCACCCAGTTAATATTGGTTATAGAATAATAATTAAAAATAATAGAATAATAGTTCCTAATTCCAAATCAAGACATTATCACCCTCCCAAAATTTGAACATATTTGACTAAGCACAAACTATTTGAAGTTTTTTATGGGAAAAGCAAACTGTTTGATCATATATTTCTAACAATTCACCATATTTCTATACAAAAAATGGAACAAACGTTATTAATGGATCAAGATGTCGATGTCAAATGTTTATGCTAAATCAACTGCTCAGCAGGCAACATTGGTGTTTCAGGCCCGTTAAATAAAACACATAAATATGGCACACGGCACAATACAGTGTGGCCCACACAGTATAAGATCATTTCATAAAATTACCATATCTATTAAAAAATTAATAACTATTTCATTGGTCGGTTGACTAAAAAACTGCTTCAGTGGAGTTGTAGCTGGGCAAGTTTCCTATAAGAATAGCAATCGAACTTTCTCTCAGAGTAATATAGGAAAAAAGTAGAATCCAATAAACAAAAAGTTTGGATATTCTATAGTGCAGTAATGACTGGATTTTGTCACTTTGTTATTATCTTGAACATGAATGCGACAGATTTGAAATTACGGTTATGTGAAATTATTGAAAGATTAAAGTCTCATGCGGGGAGGGACTGACAAAATCGTATCGATACGGTAATTTCCATACAAACTTCAATTGGTTTGTGCATAGTCAGTTTCTGCCCAACAAGTCCAAATTTTGGGAGGCTACCCAACTAATAATTTTAGCTGCAGACTAGCTTATACAGCAGAAAATTCCCTTATGCAGCTAATTTTTGTCTGTATAAGCTGATCTGCTGCTAAAATTGTTTGTTGGGTAATCAGAACCTGATTTGGAACCGTTTGGTGAATCGCTGTGGAAGCCTTATTTCTGATTAATCTCATTTACGCCTTGCAATTTCAAGACCGGTGTCGCAACAGTGTCCGAGATATGTGTTCTAGAAAACTTGAAGTGATAGGGCATTTCCGCCATCATGACGGCCATCTTTGGACTCTTAATAGCGATAATTTAAAATTTAACATTAGTCTATCGTTCACTCTTATTAAAAAAAAATACATCGATGCATTGAGATTTGAGCAGTAATATTTCATTTAATTTATATGCTGATCAATTCATCTCATTTTCAAACTGTTTTCGATTCCATATGGCAGTTAGCCTACCTACATTTAACCGTTCACAATCCAACTTGTGCTCGTTGTCCATTCCCTCGTCACCACTGGTGTCAAAAGCGTCAGCCGCTTCGTACTCTGCTGTCAATGCTAGGCAAAAAGAAAACAGACTTCGCAGAGCACCACAGTGTTGTGTGCGGATGGGCAGAGTGTGTTTATTTTGTGAGATTAGCTGCACCGTGGATAAGCACCGTCCACAGAACAAGAAGTGACTGATAACAGTTCAACCAACCTAATATACCACCGATCACTGCGTGGGCCGACTGAACTATATTTCCAATGATCTGAACAACCGTGTCCCGGTTTCTCCTTTCCTACGCATTATTTTGATTGCAGTGTGTGCCCTTGAAAGCGATAAGAGAGATGCTTTCGAGGCTGCTGTACCTGCTGTTGCTGGCTCTTAGCGTTCACTATCAGGACACCGAAGCCAGCACGCATTGGCTGCTGAACACCAACGGGCAGATCATTCCACAGGTACGAATACATAACATTACAAATCTTATTTCAAAGTGTGCTATAATTAGCCACATCGATCATGTAACTTTCAATCTTTTCGATTCGATGCACTCTTGCAGCTGACGTCGCCTTTCTATCTGCGCCGGTCGTACGATTTGATTGCGTTTCTCAACCAGAATGTCTACAAGCAGAAAATAGATCTGATCATTAGCGAACTGTTGGCGATCAAGTCGAATCTCACCGCCAAGATGAACAATCTGGACGCATACACGAATGATCTGACGAACAAGATTGGTTGCATACCAAACTTCTATCTCGACGAATCGGACATCCTGAGTACGATTATCAACATGAACTACATCAACAGGATTACGATCCCGGACAAGGGATCGGCTGCGGCCGGGGCTGTCAGTTCCAAGGCGATCACGACCAAGGGCAAAGCTCCTTCACCCAAGTGTGGTGACTATATGAAGATGGGCTTCAGTGTGGGCAGCTTTGACCACCTGGATGGGGTCCACAATCGGACCCAGCTAAAAATGATTCCCGAGGACATGTTCAAATCCCTAGAGTTCTATATTCCTTCGGTGAAATCTCCGCAAGCCCTGGCGGAGGACTTGAGGAAGAATCCTAACTCCTGGAAGTACCATACGATTGCGTCGTACTATTGGCGGAAGAAAGGGAACGCTCGGGAAGCGCTCGAATGTGCCCGGCGAGCGGTGGTGCTGGCACCACGAAAGTACAAAGACATCGCCCTGCTCAGTATGGGAACCATACTGCAGCGATCGCAGTATCTGAACGACTCGCTGATTGTACTGCGGGCGGCCGTGGATCACGAACCCAACGAGCCGGAAAATCAGATGGCCTTGGGCAACACCTACATGCTGCTGTCGGAGTTCAACCGATCGTTCGAGGCGTACAAGGCGGCCGAGAGTTTGGATTCGGTGTACTCGGAACACAACGACTACATTAAGAAATCGATCAACTGCTTCAAGGATCTCAAAATCAACCTGCTGACGATGGAAAGGTAAGAGTGTTTAGCGTCGGAAGGTCCTGATTCACGGCATTAGAATTATATCTCCGGAACCATAGGATGCGCAAAAGTCGCAATGATCGCCAACACAATTAAATGGCCTTAAGGTGATTTATTGAAGAGTCCACAAATGTTTTTCAGGGCACACATCTCGAACATTATTGCAACAACGCTCATGAAATTGGATCTCCTTGTTTGCTGCACTGCAGAAGTTCCAGTTTTGTTGTTGTAGTCGATATTTGTGTTCTGAAAATTTCGATGTGATAGTGCGATTAATCACAAATAAGATTTCCACAGCGATTCACCATAAATGAGAAAGCAATTTCAAAAATTTTAATACCGTATTGAAAACGTCAAAAGTCTTGACCTTATTAGTTTTAAGGGAATTAAGCGGTTTTAATTGAGTTGAAATCTGGCGTAAAGTCCCAGTAGGGACGTAATAAAGCCAAAGAAGAAGAAGAAGTTGGTAGTATTTAGTGTTTAATCGTGATTCAAGTATTCTTTCTCGATTTAGCGTTTTGGAGCTAATCCAGTATTTTACAGGCGATTTTGGCGTTTTCAAAGACATAGTGATGTTTTTGAAGCCATTTCTGCATGTTACGATCTGGGAGCCTTTGCTCTGATGCCACTTCGCATCTTCTGGAGTATAAATATCAGCTACCAGAAAACAATAATAGATAAGTAAATTTAATGCTTGAAATAAGCAATAGTGTCCAAGATTCACTTATTAAAAAATTGGAAGTGGCTGACTTGCAGTCATCCTGCCGTTGATTTTTGGAAGCAGTATCGAATCACCTTGAAATAATGAATGTAAAAACGTCATAATCGCCTCAAAACATCAAAAATAATGTTGGTAAGCTTCAACCGATAGATTCAGTATTTGGTAGATTCTCCAGTCAGAACCGGTATTCAGTGCTGAGATTTGTCATTGTCATTGGCAGACTTTCGCGCGATATTGACAAAATTGTTTTTCACATAGTCACTGACAGACTTGATCATCAAAAAACCCTTCGGCAAAATCTCATTCATTTTTCGTCAATGACAAAGATTCACATGGTAACAGAATGTACGGTGTGACATTATTGTTATCCAAGCCGTTCAGAACGTCGATGCTTGTTCACTTTAACGGCTCCATGTAATTGCGTTTTTCAAGTCATTCAATTTCGTTACAAATTTAGTTAATATAAAAATCTACAAATGTTCGTCACTGACAGCACTGAATGTTAGCTCAAATGAGTGGCCAAAGCAGAATTTTCAATATCACCATGTACTCTCGAAATTTTGCAGCACTGCCGGTATTAACACTCACAACACGATGCCTGGGAAATTGGCAATGTTTGAAAAACCATTGCTCAGCAATTATTCTATACATTTTAAATCTAGTGGAAATGTAGTTTCAAATGGCGTCAATAGCTTTGAAATTTGTCAATAAATGGCTGAGGTATGATTTTTTAAACATTGCAAGTTTGCCATAAAATGTGTAACCGGAGGCATCGTGTTCGGATTGTTAAAAGTTACTCCGAGTTGTAGCTTATCGTCATACACAGCACTCACTGAATCTAGCTCAGTGACGGGGTAAAATTGGTGTCCGGCCATTAGGTCAAATGGTCATCAGGCTAAAGGCTGCCCAACCTTTTTAAAGTTGCTTTTTCAAATGGCTGTACCTATGTTCAATGTACGTGTTTCTAGCTGCATTTTGTTTATTTCTCATTCATTCTGAGCTAACATTCATAATGATAAAAAAATGGGGCCAGAATGATATCATTGCTGTCTGCTGAGATCCAGAGACCACGTCCGGCTCGAGGGCGAATAAAATCATATTAATTTTCCTTCTTCCAAAAGGTGCTCGTTCTTTTCTCGCACAGGGTGTCGACTACCTGGAAAAACCTGGAAAATCTGGGAATTTCAGGGAATTCATTTTTGAACCTGGAAAATCAGGGAATTTCATTCAAAGTCAGGAAATAATTTCTTTATAACAGAAACTTATTAATAAGTATGGATGACAAACAACTTAATTACTCGGTGTAGTTTTAGAATGTTTTTTTTTTTATTTCAAATTTTAAATAGAGCTGCAAACTTGTGGTTGTTCAATGCTTGATGTTGCGATTTTGGAAAAAGTTACTCAAATAAAAGGTTATTTCGATGATTTTGAGCCTATTATAAATTCAGCTCCCATTGGGTGTTGGCACATTCCTGAGATGAACTGAGATAAAAATCCATTTCCGTACACGCTAGACGCTGTTAGTTGTTGCAACATTTAAGCTGCTAATGGGTATGTGCGTCTCTTAATAGATGTTACACCTAATTACGTCTGACAAAATTTAACCTTCGAGTAGATTGGTGCGTCTGCTCGATCCAACTGTGTTTAACAAAAAACAATTCCTTGAGTGCATTGGAGCGCCTTTCAGTAAATTCAAGAATGGTTAGGCGTTCCGGAGAACTGAGAGATTAGGGCGTAATTGCTTTTGTAAGCAAACACGTCACTGGCAGATTTCTCGCGAATTAAAGCTCAGTAAAAAAAACTAACAACACTAACAAAAAAACTAACAAGAGGAATGATTCCTCTATTATTTGGTATAGTTTGTTTGCCAGATTGTGCTTTTATTCGCGAGAGAGTTCGCTTTGAGAAACATTCGAGAACGGTTGAGTGTTTTTGCTCTGCAGCGTGCTTTTATTTAATTCTTTGCTGTCTTTGTGCTGGCGTAGAGTTTTTCGGTGTTCGAATTTGAATAGTTTTGTGTCCCGGGCGTGATAATTTGATTTGGAATGGGGAGAGGTAGCTCATCGATTCTTCCGGTTCGCCTCCTAGCATCGTGCTATAAGGTACCAGGCGATAACCAGGGTAGTTGATCGATAGCTCGATGACGTCATTTCGTTGGCGTCTGCAATGGGAAATTCTCAGAGCAGGCGTTGACGATGGGACGTTGTCGAGTTGTTGAATAGCAACTATCGTGGTAACTCACCGATTACCCTAGGGGCATCCCACTCTAAACTTTGTATTTTTCCTAATAGACATATAAAGATCTTAGTGATATCTAAGATACCCAAAAATACTTAAAAATACTTAAGAAATATCTAGCGTTAGTTTATTTGCTTGGTTGCTATGTCAATTTAATTTGCTTGTTTATCCAATGTCAGGCGTTTTGTGTGGATATTGGTTAATTTGTTAAACAATTAACATTCATTTGATTAAGAGCGTGAACAGCTTTAGGTGTTCCGAACCATTTTCGGTGTAATCTGTTCACCATGTACCAGAAAGAATTAATTCTGATAGGCATTGGAACCTTTGTTGTTACTCGTTCGAGTTCCATAATTTGTATAACCAATCTAATAGTGAATTTTGTGTTGTTCTTTTTTTCCGCTCGGTTCTTGGCTGTGTGACTATGACAATGCCTGATAAGAAAATAATTGGATGTACGAAACCATATGACCATACTATCACCTATATTTTCGTTTACGTCCGGACGGTATGTTAAACGAGAATATGCGGAAATGCAAATCTCTTAGCTTTCCACCTTCTAAACGCAGAACATGTTTATTACAGTAGATCGGGGTAAGAGGGGCATAGTGAGCATCCCGTGCACCAGCTTGAACTTCCGGCCGTTCGGAACAAATTGGTTAGTGGTAGGATCAATATCATAGTGATATTGAACCTACTACCTGTTGATTTGTTTCATGCAGCTGAAGATCCAGAGCCAAAGTGTGGGATGCTCACTATGCCCTACCTGTTCACTATGTCCCTCCTTCCCCTAATAAACCATAAAGGCCACTGGACACAGTATAAGCAACATAGTCAGAATTATTTAAACGAATGGATTTAGTTTTCGTTGTTTTCCTACGTATAATTAAAACAAGTAAAACGTTGTGTTCAATGTGATATAATAATTGCATTAATTTTTCAAAATAAACATTTTAGTAGTTTATTCAAAAGGAGAGTCAACACGGCCATTCCCATTCAACACCCGGTAGATAAACAAACTTTTCATCCTGCATTTGCTCAGGCCTGCACGTTTTCACGGCAACAGTTCCTCGATACTGCAAAAACAAAATCGTAGTCAGATGATTCGCTGCTAGGTAGGTCCACGGTACGAGAGGGAGAGAGAGAAAGAGAAAAGGACTAGTTGTCTCTCTCATGCCATCGCAAGTTTTTGCTCGGGTCAGCTAATGCACGCTCATATCTGAATATACCAATATTCATCATCGCAGGATCTTTGTGCACCGAGAGGGTATATGTGAGCCAATACACACTTTGGGTTCAGTCGATTGGTAAACACGGTTCAACTTGTACTGAAAATATCATTCTTTGTAACCAGCTCTGGAAGCATACTTACAAGCTGAATCGCTGAAAAATATAAATTAAATAATACTAATTTAAACACATAATAAAAATACTTAACACTCCTATTTGTATAAATACAAGACGACCGACAACAACAAACACATGCACTAGCAACCGGTCATCAAAAAATAAGTGGTACTTTGATGGAAATTTATAGCCATGGTTTAAAATACTAAAAAATACTTAAAAATACTTACACGGGATTTACAAATATTTTACTGATATTAGGTATGAAGTTTAGAGTGGGATGCCCCTAGCGATTACCTGTCGATCTGCCAAATTTGGAAAGACGTCTGCATTGAATTGTCTCATATAATAATATTCCGCCCACTATATCACAAGAAATTGCGAGTAGCTGAGTAGAATGGAGATAAGTTAAGCATTGGGTACAGGACCAAGTCTCCCCTGGGTGGTGCCAGAAGATGAGCGCAATAGAATCATCAAGTTGCCATAAGGCACGGAATGAGACTATTGCATGGCTGGGTAGTCAAAGTCTTCCATTCGTTAGTCATTTCAGGTGGATTAGAACAGGTTTAGGTGGGCGTTGGCCAGATTTGGATTTTTCAGATGTAATCCTGGATAGGACCCTGTCATTGAACGTTGCGTGAAAGTGGAACTTAATGAAGGCCTAAGTACTTTTTCGTAGTTTTTAGTT